GCCCTAGGCTGGGAATTGAACCGGTGACCCTTTGCTTTGCAGAATGATGCCCAACTAACTGTGCCACACCAGTCAGGGCAGCTCACTGGTCTTTAATGCTCGTTTAGATTCTTTTAAACCTAGTCCTGTGGGCAAATACTTATTGAACTAAGCTAACTTGGAAAGATATAAGAAAGGGAGTTAGCTTTATTTATAGGGAGATATACAGCCATGTGCTACGTAGTGAAGTTTTAGTCAACAATGGAACATACAGACAGTGGTATGCCAGATAGCCTCCTAGGTGTAGGCGTGAGTAAGCTGTAGCATCTAGGTTTGTGTAAGTACACTCTGTGGTGTTTGAACAATGACCAAATCACCTAACAACACATTTCTTAGAATGTATCCCCCCCCATTAAGTGGGGGGTTAAGTGGTGCATGACTGTGTCTATACCTTCTTTGAACTGGAGGATTTACTTTTGAGAAGACAGGTCATGATATTTTCCCAGAGTCTAGTCTCTTTCTTGTAGAATGGTAGGGCAGCTGCTACTTCACTTGGGTTGAGATTTAAAGTTTCATTTATTATTCATTTTTTATCTTGTACAACTACTTTAAAGAATGTAAAGTATGATTTGATTTCCTTCCTAGGTTTCATTATGGAAACAAGAGAAAGAATGTATTTCTTCTAGCCTCTGTTTATTTTTCTTTCTGTCTATAATCAATTTCAGTAACTTTAACAATAAATAGTAAGAATGATAGGGTATACAAAGCATTTCCCAAGTGAATCCATCATGAACCTGTGTCTGAGAATGGCTTCCTAAATAAGGGAAATGTGTTTCATACAAAAAGTCCATTTTCTGTTATTGCCTTTTTTATTTGGACTACTAGATGCTATATATTTTAAGGCAATCTTAATAGTTTCCTGTCTCTCCATAACAAGAATGACTTGTCATAATGAGCAGTGTAGACACTGTCCATTTGATCCACTCCCAAAAGCTGTCTGTTTGCTACAAGAGTAAATCACCTCAATTCCTTTGTGGAATGAGTTGAGTATAAATAAATGAATGAGACACAAGAATAAAAAAATCTGGCCAGGTCTATTAGAAGGAAACAAAGGATAGGAACATTTGGAGGCCTCGTTTAATTAAAAAAATGTGAAAAGGCAAAGAATTATATGTGATAACTGTAAAGGGAGGAAGAATCCTCACTGATACAAAATGTCCATGAAATAGTTTCATTATTTGGATAGAAGATAATTTTATAGTTTGAGAATAATAATTCTTAATTCTTTGAAGTTGGAAGACCTATGTTGTAAAATGGTTTTTTACTCATCTTTACTTCCACCAAAAAAGGGTTCTAGTTTTCAGCACTCTTTCTATAATTCATCACCTTTCTAAATATGAATAGGAATTTCAGTTTCCATTTCAGGAAATGGGTTTGTTTGGGGGGTGTCTCTTTTATTGTTATTTTACATGTTTTCCTTCAGTTGAAAATCTTTGGTCTTGTTTTTTATTTTGAGAAGACTCCAAAAGGTTCTAATTTTTCTTTTTTTAAAAGATTTATTTATTTATTTATTTATTTATTTATTTATTTTTAGAGAGGGAAGGGAGGGAGAAAGAGAGAGAGAAACATCAATGTGCAGTTGCTGGGGGTCATGGCCTGCAACCCAGGCATGTACCTTGACTGGGAATCGAACCTGCAACACTTTGGTTCACAGCCTGCGCTCAATCCACTGAGCTACGCCAGCCAGGGCTTAATTTTTCTTTTTACAATAGTGTGTGGTGTACCTCTTAGAGAATTATAGAAAAATGTCATTGTGTTTATTTTTTTTTTTTTGCTGTTACTATCTGAGACTTCTTTTATGTGAAATATTAATAGAGCTATTATTCCATGTCAGGTTTAGGGTTCCATGTAGGGATAAAAGTTATGACAAATGTTTTAAAAATTATTTTATTGTTGTTCATTTACAGTTGTTTGTGTTTACACCCCGCCACTACCTCCCCAACCCCCGCCAAACCCACCTCCCTCCCTTGCTTCCCACCCCTTGGTTTTGTCCACGTGTCCTTTATAATTCTTCCTGAAAACCCTCCCCCCTTCCTCCTATTATCCCCTCCCACCTCCACTTGGGTTACTCTCAGATTGTTCTTAATTCCAATGTCTCTGGTTATATTTTGCTTGCTTTTTTCTTTTGTTGATTAGGTTCCAGTTAAATGTGAAATCATATGGTACTTGCCCCTTACTGCCTGGCTTATTTCACTTAGCATAATGCTCTCCAGTTCCATCCACGCCGTCACAAAGGGCAGGAGCTCCTTTTTTTCTCTCTGCTGTGTAGTAGTCCATTGTGTAAATGTACCACAGTTTTTTGATCCATTCATTTACTGATGAGCACTTACATTGCTTCCAGCACTTGGCCATTGTAAATTGTGCTGCTGTGAACATTGGGGTGCATAAGTTCTTTTGGATTGGTATTTCAGGGCTCTTAGGATATAATCCTAGTAGTAGAATTGCTGGGTCAAAAGGCAGTTCCATTTTTACTTTTCTGAGGAAATTCCATACTGTTTTCCAGAGTGGCTGCACCAGTCTGCATTCCCACCAACAGTGCACTACAGTTCCCTTTTCTCCACATCCTCTCCAACACTTGTTTGTTGATTTGTTTATGATGGCCATTCTGACTGGTGTGAAGTGGTATCTCATTGTGGTTTTAATTTGCATCTCTCTGATGGCTAGGAATGCTGAGCATCTTTTCATGTCTCTGGGCCTTCTGTATGCCCTCCTAGGAGAAGTGTCTGTTCATGTCTTTTGCCCATTTTTTAATTGGCTTGTCTGTCTTCCTGGTGTGCAGTTGTGTGAGTTCTTTACATATTTTGGAGATCAAACCCTTGTCTGAGGTATCATTGGCAAATACATGTTCCCACATAGTTGGTTCACTTTTCAATTTAATGCTGTTTTCTTTAGCCATGAAGAAGCTTTTTAATTTGACGAGGTACCATTTGTTTATTGTTTCCTTTATGTCCTTTGCTTTAGGGGACAGATCAGTGAAGATACTGCTGCGTGCAATGTCTGAGATTTTCCTGCCGATGTTTCCCTCTAGGACTTCTATGGTGTCTTGACTTATATTTAAGTCTTTTATCCATCTTGAATTTATTTTTGTGTGTGGTGTAAGTTGGTGATTGAGTTTCATTTTTTTGCATGTAGCTGTTCAGATCTCCCAACACCATTTGTTGAAGAGGCTATTTTTACTCCACTTTATGCTTCTTCCTCCTTTGTCAAATATTAATTGACCATAGAGATTTGGGTTTATTTCTTGGCTCTCTGTTCTGTTCCATTGATCTATGTGTCTGTTCTTACACCAGTACCAGACTGTTTTGATTACTGTGGCCTTATAATGTAGTTTGATATCAGGTATTATGATCCCTCTTACTTTGTTCCTCTTTCTCAAAATTGCTGCAGCTATTCAGGGTTGTTTATGGTTCCATATACATTTCTGAAATGTTCTATGTCTGAGAAATATGTATGACAAATTTTTGAAATTCTCACTCAAGGATATGTTTATTGATTTTAGGGAGAAAGAGAAACATCAATCAGTTGCCTCTCTTATGCCTACCCCCCTCCCCGCCCTGCCCCTACTGGGGAGGAAGTCTGCAACCTAGGTATGTGCCCTGACCAGGAATCAAACCCATAACCTTTTGTTCTATGGGATGATGCTCCAACCAACTGAGCCACCTGGCCAAGACAATGACAAATTTTGTGCCTTATGATTCATTTTTTAAAATTTTAATTGTTGTTGCAGTACAATTTTCTATCTTTTACTCCCATCCCAGCCCACCTACCCAGCCCTCCTCTCCTCCCTCCCATTTCCACCTGCCCCTAGTTTTTATCCATGTGTCTTTTATACTTGTTCCTGTAAACCCTTCCTCTATGATTCTCACAATCAAATCTCAGAATGTATAACATCAGAACCACCTAGAAGGCTAATTTAAAATGTAAATAATCAGGTCCTGTCCTAAAATGACAGGATCAGAATCTCTGGAAGTGGGGCTTCAGAATCTGCATTGTAATAGGTTCTCTCTGGGGTTCTAATGCAAACTAAAGTTTAGGTGCCAATGATCTAGTAGTCACTGTTGGAGTGTAGAGGGATAAGCAATTTACGTTGTGCTTGGAGTCACAACACAATCTTCAAAATACAATGGTGGCATCTAGGAAAGAGCTTTTCCATGGCAGTTCCTATCGGAAGAAATAGAAATATATGTATGTTTTACACACACACAGCACTGAGACATGTCTTTTGGAGTTTTCCAGTAAACCTCAGAAGACTTACAGACAGAAGACAATCAAGAAGTATTTGTTTACTAAACGATTAGGTTGGAGTGAACAGATTTTACAATTCCATTCTACTAATCACCAGCCACTTGATGCTTATAGGTGGACAGTGGTATTTCTGTCTATATAGTTTGTTTTTAACTCAAAAAGGTAGTGATTAGAACTCCCTCCTCTACGATCGATCGTAGTGGGGGGAATCAATCATCCCAAGAATCCCCCTATTAAGTAGAAAAGTAAGGGCCAATCAGAGCTCTCTCTGGACCGGCTTCTCAGGGAGGATTGGCGGAAGATGGAACGTGGTCACCATCATTCAATCGGACAAAGACTGCTATAATAGTTCCGGACACTCGGAAATTCCTTACGGGTTACTAGGCGAGGTGTTCAACCTCGGCAGCGCAGACCGTCGGCCGGAGGGTGTCTTGATCACAAAACGTGGAGGCACTAAGGACACCGCGTTACCGGAGCGCCCGGGGAAATGGTCAGCAGTTTTGGCGATACCAGTAACAAAAATGGCGGTAGGCCACTTCAGGCGCGGGATCAGGTGATGGGGCCCTAGTCCGCCGGCTCCCCGCCAGCCGCTCCTCCTCCCGCTCCCTGTCGTGGAGGTGGGCGTGGCCTGTCCAGGGACTCCAGACCGGGAGGTTAGGAAAACCCAGGGACACACATGCGCAGTTGTGCACCTCTGGCCTTGGGGTCTCCGCCCCGCCCGTCGCCCCGCCCAGGCCTCCCCGGCGGGGCTGGGCCGAGAGTCCAGCAGCTGCTGGTTGGGGCTTCAGTGACTTCCTTGTTGTGAGCCCCGGCCCGGCAGTGTCCGGAATCGTAGCCCCGCTCTGCTCACCGGCACCGCCAGCCGGAGTCTAGGTCGCAGCCGCAACCCCAGCCCGTCGGTTACCCTTTCATTTCAGGTCCTTCCCCCGCACGCCCCGCGCTCCCTAAAATGCCCAACCCCGGCAGTACCTCCTCTCCCTATTCCCTCCCCGAGGAAATTAAGAACCTGTTGGCAGGTAAAGAGCGGGAAGGGGGCGGGTAACGCCGCGGGGCGGGGGCGGGGGCGAAGGGACGGCGTGCCGAGCGGGACCGAAGCTTTCAGAGTCCTTTCCCTCCCTCCCCGCGATCCCTTCTTCTCCTGGCCAGTGGGCGTGGGGCTGGGAGTGGGACAGGGTCCGAGGAGAGGAGTGGGCGTGTGTGTTGAATTTCGGTGCTAGAATAGTGGGGAAGCCGTTATGGACGAATTACACTATTCTGTGTGCATCGTAAAGACGTCCTGTGTGTGTACGCGCGCGCGCGCGTGCGAGAGAGAAAAATGAATGAATCTGAGTGTAAAGTGTGAGCACTAGGAAGCGATCAGTAGTCCAAGAAGTACTTCTTTGGTGGCCTGGCTAATGGAGGAGAAGGGTGTAAAGATGCAAAGAGATGTGTCTGAGCGACAGGTGTTGGGGTTATGGGATAGAAGGGTTTGTCATCCTAAAACTCCCATTAGTCTTGAACTTCCAGTCCACTCATATTTAATTCTTTCAAAGAGGGCCTGATTCTCAAATGGCCACTAGTCTTCAGCTTGAGTAACATTAAAAAGGAAGGATGTGTTAAAGTCCAACTTCCTGTGTCACGATGATGAAAGTACTTCGTCTTTGCACCCTCATCTTCCCCTTTTCAGTATTAAATGACCATTTATAGGAACTTGCTTTTAGGAGTTCAAGATGCTGTTCTTAAAGCTATGTACTAGGTATGGAGATGTGTACTGCAACTAGGGGCCAATGAAAAATTGTATTTCTGCATAAGGTAGAAAATACATTAGAGTAACACAAATCTTATCTATACTGATGCTCTGGAATTCTTGCCATTATTTATTTTGTCATACATACATCAGAATTCTGGAAACTTAATTTTGATAGTTTTACTTTAGTTGTCTCTTAAGTATGTATCTTTCTATATTGGTCATGAATACCTAGAGTAAAAGAGTTTCTCTTAGTTGCCCATATTACAAGTTGGTTATTTTAACTCTTAAAAAGCAATATCTGAAGTGTGACATTTTAAATAGTAAGTTACAACTATAGTGTGAAACCAAATCTAATACACTGTTACACTGTTTTGGTGGTTAGTATCATGAATATAATAGGGAAACTAAAATCAACAGTATGTGGATACAGACTTTGTGTGAACATGATTACAGTGTGATGGCGAGATAGTATTTTACTCTAAGAAATGCTTGTTGTCATTAATGGATACCACTAAGGGAAATATTGAAAGAACTGAAAAGACATCTTTTATTCCATTATATTAGAGTTTCACATGAGTATTACTTTGTTTTACTACAGTTAACACTTTCATTGTTACAATGCTGGACTTGCTTAGAGTTATTGTTTAGAGCACTATATTAATAGCCAGATCACAGCAGTATTTATCATTACTCCAAAAATTGATGTTACATTTTCAGGGTATTCTAGGTCTAGGACTGAATTTTTTGCATCCCCCCCTTTTTTTAAGGTGTGAATTTTTAAGTTTAAGAAATAAAGTACAGATTTCTGGGTGCACACTTTCAAAGCTTGACAGCTCCCACAATAGACAGTTTCCTATTTTGATCCATAATCCTACCCATGCAGATAGTATGATGTGTAGGTTATGAGATCCTGTATTCTCTGATCCCCATGTATTATAAGTATTTCATGTGGCCCTTATTTGACTAATTTAACTGGAAGTTTAGAATTAGATAATATTTAAATTATTTACCAATGCTATCTTCCTACATACTCTAGCCCCTCTCTCTCTTTAGTCAGATAGTATACTTGCATAATGTCTGCAGTCAGCATTTAAATAGTTATCTTGTTGACATTTTCAATATTTCATATTAGCACAGCAAGTCATACATTAAAACACATTAAGTAACAAAAATAAATGTGAGAACATTAAAAATTTGGAGATAATAAATTTGGCTTCTTTATTTTCAGAAGATATTTTCAAGAGATCTGGATATAAGAAAAATACATTTTAAAGAAATGAAATAAGTGAATCAGTGTTTTTTAATTTTTTGACTCATTCAAAGAAAGTTAACATTTTATGTTTGATTGTAATTAAAATATTTTTGAGGTAGGAAAGTTTCTGAAGAATAAATGCTCTCAGTTTTTTTTCCCACAGTTTTCATTAAAAAGTCTGTTGGAATTGTGCATCATGATTTGTGTTGAGTAGTAGTACATGGTTAGAAATCAAAGTACTAACACTGTGGAAAAAGAGTTGGTATTGGTGTGACATTTAGAGATGTTACTGACTTACCTACCTCTTTCTTTGAAACTGAGGACAGAGATATTGGTTGATTGTAGTTAGCAACTGAGAGCTCTTGGAATGCATGACACTGTGCTAGAATTCCAAGATGGAGAAGAGAAGCACCTAAACTTTTCAGGTGTTTAAACTTCCTTGCCTTCAGAAAAATGAGTATAAAGTAAAAGATAATGCCTTTCAAAATAAAATTGTCTGGATGTTTTCCTTTGTATTCCTTGTGCCTGGTATTCAAATCAGTACATATCATGTGTGTTAAATGTTTGACATTTCAGCTGCTTGATAGAGGTAGGTGCTCACATGTATTCTTACCAGCTTATTATTTTCTTTCTCATTATTTTTTCTATTTATAACAGAAAGGTTTCCCCTGGTTCTCATTCCTTCCCCATTAAAGAAAGAAAAAACATTCTGTAGGAATGCAAAAATCCATAGAGGCTATCATTCTTAACTCAAATTTAATGATATTCTGGAAAAAGTGGCTATAGAGTTAGACTGTTTGTTATTTATGTTTCTATGGAATCAGTACTTAAATTTTGAAAGCCTGTACTTTTCATAAAATTGTTGCGTTATTCTTTCAGTTCATGAATGGAAAAACATTTACAGATTTTTGGTGTTAAAAGCAAATTTTGAACTGCCATATGCAGGCAAACTTTAACTTTTAAAATTAAAATTAATTTCCCTAAAGTTAAATTTATTGGGTGACATTGGTTAATAATATTATATAGGTTTCAAGAGTACATTTCTGTGATACGTGATTTGTATATCTCATTGTGTGTCATTTTTTTTCTGCGACGATGGAAGAGCAGGTTTAGCCTGGATAATGAGAATCAAAGGATAACCCCAAATCTTGTCCATTTAATCTTCTCCTACATCCAAATATTTTGACTAGGACTAACAGCAAGAATAATCTTGATTTATGTGAGTTTCTCCTCCAGGCAGCCAAGAAAGTGAGAGGCGCTGGAACCACTGGCCCCCCATTCTCTTTAATTCGTTCAGTCGCCCTTTGAATGCTGGAGTGCTGGTGGTTTGCAGTCAGATGTTCTCATTCATTCCTGTTAGGACAACATACTTAAAAAGGCGAGCTGTGAGATGTTAGTATCCTTTTATAAAATTAGAAAATGAAACCAATGTTAACCGAAGAATATAGTGGATCTGAAAAATCAAATCAAAACCAAACCAAACCAAACCAACACTAAACAGAATGGCTGTATGATTTCTGCAAAGTGACCTTGAGATTTTGTTCATCTGACAGTCTTGAATTGAAATATTGCATTTTTTCCTATTGGTGATCTCCAGAACATTTTTTTAAAAACCTTCACACATTATAATCAATGATCCCTTTAGGGGCAGTAGGTAAAGAATGCAGCTCAGTTGAAATAGAGGCAGATTTTTTTCCCCAGTGCTGAGGATAGTGTGGTTTGATTTCCACCTTTCCAGAGTTCGATTTATAATTTGGTCAATATTTTGGCTTTATTCCTCCTATGAGAAATATTTATGGTATATCTAGTGTCCCAGAACTTTCTTCTGGTGCCTTGGCTGATTATGTAAAGGGAAGACTGCCACCTACTGAGTCACCAATAGTCACCTACTTCTTTAGCACCTGGATTTTCCTACAGAGCAAGATCAAGCCGGCCCCATTTTGACAGTAATAACTAATGAGCATAAAGTTGATATTAGAAGATTTTATCTTAAAATGAAACCAGTCTCTGACACCCCTAAGATATTCTCTTCTAGAAATAAGAAAATGTATTTGTAAATTAAGGGACCAGAAATTCAGTTTCTTGTATAAGTAGCATAGATGAATTTAAGATGTGATGTTAGGAAAATTATTTGCCTGTCTTAAGCACATGACATCCTACTTTTTCTTGAGAAGGGGTCTTTGGCCGGCTTTTTTTCCCACGTGGCTTTCCATCAGAAGTATTTTCATTTCAGATTACTAAATAAGGCTCTTGATAGTCCATGCTCTTTTTACAGCGACTCAACCCCAATTATCAGTGGTTTTCTTGTGAGAAAGGGAATCTATACTAAAAATGAGAAGTATATAAAAATTTCCAAATGAGTTTATCTCTTCACTACCAGCACTAAAGTATTACTGGAGAGAAGATAGAAACAGCAGACTAGGAACAGCCTCTGGTGATTTGAAACACAGTTCAGTTGTCTCTCATAAATTTAAGATTAAGTGTCATATATGGGTGATAAAAGTGGCAGAGGCTAGTTTTTATACACTCATTATTCACTTAGTTTGTCTTTTTCAATTAAAGCCAAGACTATTTTTTTCATTCCACTGAGTTTACATTTCTTTTTCAATCACATACTGAACACATTATAATAGATGCTGCATAAGAGGGAATACAGGGTGGATCTCCCGCTAATGTGTTCTTCATTGTGGCTCCTTCAGAAATACGTGGCAGAAAGATTTTGATTATTTTAAGGTGCCATCTATCAAGAATCATCCTTTAGAGGTGAAAGATGTTCATCCCTACCCTTCAACAGCCCCGTTTTTAAAAATAAAAATAAATCATTTACCCTCCAAGACCAATTTTGAAAATTTTGTCAGATGATAGGATGTAAGTTATGTTCTCTATGAGAACTCCCGTGCTTGTTTGTGCCTCTTCTTCCACGTTAGAAAAGCCTACAGTTTAACTATAACCCATAGAAGTGCGAGATAATCAAGAGGAAGACATTGATTAGAGCAATCAATAACTTTTCAATTAACCAACTTTGGGCATTTGGCTCCATTGATCTACACGTGCCCAGTTTAATTGATTTTTGTGTTTTCACCCATAGGTGTGTTTGGTCAGCCACATCTCCTTTTAACAGAGAGAAAAGCGTGTTTTCTTGCTCTGATGCCAACTTAAAGTTTGGCTGGGGTCCTTGCCACATTAAGTTTGGTGACTAAAACCTCAGTGAATACAAACTGAAACCTGGCACAATTCATAAAGTAGAGAAAGCTGTAGAATTAAGTAGTAAAGCCATTTGGAGTGTGGTGTGATTGGTTTTTCACTTATTTTATTGATCTGAGGCTGAGCAAATGGTAGTTGACTCAGTTCAGTTCTTGCCTCCTTCTCCTCTGCTGTTCAGACCAGTCACCACAGACTGTGTGTGTGTGTACGTGCCCACTCAGGTATTAGAAGGTTGGGGGACAGGCTGAAGACACCAGGTGTTACCTTTGTGACTTGTTTACAACCTCCAGCCTGAAAGGCGTATTCCAGGCTGTTTGCTGGTGGAGGATGGTAAGGGCAAGTGGTCAAACATCCGTTTTCTTCAAGAATGGGAACCTGTGCTGTAAGAAGCTGACAGTTTTGTTTTATTGTTTGCAAGAATTTAAAGACTGTTCTAACCTTGTGTGGTTTCACCTTTTCACCGTGTATGGAAGTTCGTGGAAAGCAGTTAAACTTTGTCTGTGTAGATACCTGACCTGGCCACTCAGGTGGCAGTTTCTCTAGGGGCTCCTTAGGTAGAGGGAGTCCATCCGCCAGGGGGGAAGGGCGGTTGGAGTAAGTACCGTTTGGTGATGTGGTGTGTGCTGAGTGTGACCCTCGGGGGCTGAGGTGGCTGTTGAGGGGTTTCTAACTTAAACTGCTCGAGGATTGCTGAGCCCAGAGAGGATGCCATCTTTTAATTTTGTTTTCAGACCTTAACATTGATCCACAGAGCAACTGTAAATCTGATCTTTTTAGAGGTCCCCTCCCCCCGATTTTTACAGTCCTACCGGGAGATAAGGTTTGCTCTTGCCAGTGTCGAGGAGTGGCAGCAAGAGCAAAAACCACCACCACATTTACGTTAGTGGGGATAACTCCCGCCCCCCGCCCCCTGACGACTTGGGGGCAGGGGCTGATGCAGATGGGGCTCGTTCTAGGGGTTTCGGGGGATGCCCGGGCGCTGACCCCCAGTCCAGGAGACTGCGGGGTGGGGGGTTGCGAGGTGTGGGGGCGGGGGGGGATTAGCCCTGTTGCGTTGGGGGCCTCCTCCAGCTCGTACTGTGTTTCTCCTCTCCCGCGGCGAGGGCGCGAGTGAGTGGAGACCCCTCCTTCGGAGGAAGAGGAATTCTAACTCATCAGGCCTCGAGGCGAGCGAGAAGGCAGGCTGACCTTTCCTTGTAATCGAATAAGGGCTGTTCCCCGGATCGCAGACCTTCGCGAGTCAGTGAAATCTGCATACTAACCCAGGGACACGACCCTGCAGGAAGGTAGAAGAAGAGGACGGCTGCACTCGCTCGTTTGCCGTTCGCAGGGCTATTCAGAGGACAATAAAAAGCTTCAAATCTCTTTTCCAACCAGCCAGAGGAGCGCTTGATTCGCCCAGGACTTTTATTGCTCGCTTTTGAAATATTACCCCGGCTCTGAGCCACAAAGCCGCAGCAGATCCAGTCCCATTTGTCTGGCGGAGGCGCTGCCCCAAACCCCAGCTCTTCCTTCTCACAGCTCGTAGGACTGGGACCCTGGGGTTTCACACTCCGCGGGTCAGATGTCGAAAGTCGCGAACTTCGGCGCCCAAGCATCTCCCAGTAAAGCCTGAGGAACTTTTCAGCGCTGTCGTAGGCCCCGGCACGTCCAGCCGGGTCCCCTGTGCCTGGAGAGGCTGGTTTCGCTGGATTCGAAAATCACCAGGCATAGTGTGGGTTTTTGAGGGGAGGGGCAGGGAAACCAAAACACCAGATTTCAAAACCTTAAAAACCTAACCCACTTAGTGGGCACCAACAGACTAGGATGATTGCAGTAATTGCTTCTACTTTCAAGCTCTTCACTTATTTGTTAACAAAAGAAAAAAACAGCAAAGCAGTTTCAACGCTTTCCTTGTCTCCTCTGATAAGTAGTTTCTTAAACTAATGTTTATTAAATCTTTTAGTTGCCTTAAACCCCTTTTTCTGGGATAAATTTAGGAATTAAAACATTAAGACTACCCTAAAAATATAGATCTTTTCCTTTGCCCAATCTGTGAATCTCCCCCCTCACCCTGAATAAACAAACAACATAGATTCTTCCTGCAGCCTCACTCCCTCAACAAGTATTTCCTCATAAAATAGTAGCAGGGATCGGTATTTTAAAAAACATTTTTTTGAGAGTGTTAAGAAACACCGTATAGAGCACCACAGCTCTCTATGTTTTCTGTTTTCATAGAATTGAAACGACCTTTTAAAGAAATAACTCTCAGGCTGTAATTTGTTCTGTTATTGCTTCCAGAGATGGAAATAGATCCCGTTTGTTTAAACTTGGATTGTATAATGAAAATGTAAAATAGGCAATTAAATACTTGTGGATGAGGGAATTAAAGACAAACACTGAGTGAAAGTAACATTAAGCAGACTCTTCACCAATCATCGTGCCAGGGATTCCCGCAAGGACGGGTCCGGCTGGAAGAAAGGATCAGTGGAGATGCTCATGCTTCTTTCCCTTATTCCACTTTTCTTAGAAGATTTATTGTAACCATCCCAGAGAAGCCAATGATCTCTTCCATTTCAGCTAACATCTGAGTGTCCAAAGCTGGCTTGCCCCTCTGGGTACCACATTTAAAGAGTTTAGAGGAGAGCACTTTCTTTTTTATGTTTCTGTATTTTGAACTCACTTGAGAAGTCTGGGTCTAATTTGCACTGGTACTGGGTTGTGTCCCTGTGTCCCCATCTTCAGAAGCTTGGACAGCTGAAAGAAAGAGAAGCTGTGACACTTTGCTTTCATTTTGTTTTGATACTAACTTTTAACATTAAAACCAGAAAGCTAGTTCTAAAAAAGTATATCAGGATTAAATTTTAATTCTTTTACTTGTCATATTGATTTAGGGGAAATTACCTTTATACCTTTATTGTTAATGTATAGAGTAACAGTTTAATCTACTTTGCTTACGGGATCAAGATACTTTTGTAATGAAGAATTTAAAATTGATCAGATTATATCTCAATACTAGGTTTTAAATTGTTAGTTATAAGTACAGTTGAAAGATTATTTATTATATTGCTTGAATTAATACATGTAATATTATTGTATGTTTTGATACTGTCTCTTTATCAATGTGTTAGGAGACAAAGCAGTTATGTAAAAAGAAAGTAAAATGCACAGCGTACACACGTTTCTTCAATATGAGATGTGGGTGGTTTACAGTCATACCTACTTGAAACATTTTTATGGTATCCTCTATATTAGAGATCTGAAAGTGAGATTTGAAAATTCTATATGTAATATTAATTTAAAGTTGTACAGTATTTCATAAACAATAAGAAAGGAGCTATTATACAATCATACCAGTAAGGGTTTGTTGGAATTTTATAGTAGAGAGAACTAGACATCAGAATAATTTAGAAGTTTACTAAATTGTTTTTAAAAAACAGACTATGTGGAAATGTTATATGAGGCCATAAAATCTTATTTCTAGGTTACTGTGTTTCTAAATAGTGGATTTTTTATTGTTACTACTTATTCCTCCTTTTAAAGAAATATTTTCAGGTAGTAATACCAGAGCAAAAAGATAGAACATGCAAAACCACACAACTGATTATCTTTTTTATTTGAGGGTGGCTGGCGAACGTGGGTGGGGCAGGTAGGAAGGAGCACGGTATGATGTTGGGAAGCATGGCTAGAAAGGGGGATTTATTTTTTCTTTTAAATCATTAAACACCTGAAAAGATTACACTGGGAAAAACAGGCCCTTGCCAGAGACATTAGCTTATACTGATACAACACAGTGAATGACCTATTCATACAGGAACTCATAAAATACTATAAAATGGTAGTAACACATGCATAAAAGCTCTGTGCTTGCTTTTATATGAGAGAATTTGTTTTACGGGGCACCATAGTTTATTGAAACTTGTGTGCTTCTTCCCGGCTTAATGATGCCAAACATCCAAATAGCATTTGCTGTGCTAAGCATAAGTAGAGCATACAGACTTTATTAGCTAAGTGGTGAACAAATGTGTCCAACTTAGTATCTGAAACATACTCCAACTGTTATGCTTTTGATTGATAAATAAGTGTAACAAATTGTACAGATATTAACAGTTATGGGTGGGCAAAATCATTGTCCTATTTGTCTTGACAAAAATGATTCTTATAATTTGTATCCTGTTTCTTACATTTTATGGTTTAGATGTTGAAACATTTGTGGCAGACATACTGAGAGGGGAAAATTTATCCAAGAAAGCAAAGGAAAAAAGAGAATCTCTTATTAAGAAGATAAAAGATGTAAAGTCTACGTAAGTCACTTACCTCTTATTACTAATTTTTTACTTAGAAGCAAGTTTGTAATTAACATTAATAATTATCATTTAATTAAAATTTTAATGTTGTTACTTTAATGTTGTTAAGTATTTTTAAAAGACAAAATATATTTTCACTATGATAGCTTTTAAAAATGGACATGCTCGCCACAAAACCCTTTTTTTGTGAAGGTTTCTGAATATGTATTTTCCTAAGTATTCTAGCAATATTCAACCATTTATCTTTATTAGGTGAGGATATATTTGGTTTAAATAATAAGACATAGTTAGTTGAGAACTTTAGTATAAATATGGGAAATAACTTGCCAGATATGGAAATGAATAAATGTAAATTGTAGGTATTTAAAGCTATGTTCTGATTTTACTACTGTAACTTAGGTCTTTGAAATACTTTTCTTTTAAATTCACAAACCTTTTGCAACTGTCATTTCAAGACATGAAGTAGTTTTTTTTCCCCCTCTAAACGTATTAAAATAGCTTTGAATTACTGCCATGTATTGGACCTTGTTTTGATTTGTCAGCACTCCTTTTAAAATATAATGCTCTTCTTTTATTTTGCAGCTATCTTCAGGAATTTCAAGACAAAGGTAAATTTTCGGGTTTGTAAAACCTGAAATTATTTTTCCTTGTAGAAGTTTTCAATAGGCTAACCTAACACATACTGAAATGTGATAGTTGGGTTCAAAATTTAAGTCTCCGATGTGTACACTTAGACTTTCAAGATGAGAGTGCTAGCTCCCCCTGCTGAGAAAAAAATTAAAAAGCATATCCAGCATCTACTCTCCACAATCTCCTGATGAAGAAATCCTCTGTCTTTAACATTCTTAAGTTTTAATGTCTCAGAGTGCCCTGTGGCTGACACTGGTTGTGAAAGGCATACACTTTGCAGTTATACGCGGAGTAATCCGGCGAGGCACAGGTGAGATGCCAACCCCACACCACTGAACACCGCAGGGATGGTTTCAGAGTGGTGATGGGGGCGCGGGGCCCATGGCTAGGTGCTCAGAGATAATGTGTTTTTTTTTTAAGGATAATTGTTTTAAAAACAGGATCACTTTTTTTTGTTTTTTTTGTTTTTTTTGGTTTTCTGGTTTTTATTATTCTTTTAAAACGAATAACTGTGTGCCATAGATATTTTCAAAGAAGGGAGTCCAGTTTCATTTTTTTTTTAAATATGTGAGAGTACTGGTAATCTGTCTGTCTTCCCTTAGATTTGAGAGGCAGCTGCTTAGCACACTGGAGACCAAATCAGGAAAGGCGCAGGAAGTCCCTACTTTCTCATGTCTTCAGTTCTGTAAGGGAAGCTGGGTATGGCCCTTACTTGCATGATGCTAATTCACAGGTCATGACCTGAGTCCTGTGAATGCTGGTATGAGGGTCACAACGTGAGGTCAGTTAACCTACGTGGAGCTGGCATCTGCTTTGGGGGGAAAACAGTGTGACGTCTTCTAACTGGGGCCAGCAGAGACACCACAGAGTAATTCATATCGCTGCCAACTGATAAGTGAGAGAGTAGTGACAGTTTCAATAAACCAAGTACTTAGCCAGACAAGCCTAAAATCAAACAGTTAAAAGGAAACCACAGTACTTTTCACATTAAATCATTAAGATGGTTGTGATTGGGGAGAAGGAGAGTTTTTTATATTAATTTTTTAAAAGGGAAGAATGGGGAAACGCCTCCTTCTCATAAATACCCAGGTTTTAATAGTCTGCAACAAACCCTAAACTATGTGTTTAATCATGTTGCATTTTGCTTGGCTGAATACAGAAATGATACACTTTTATATTCTAATTATGATAACTTTTATTTAGTACACTGCTTATAGAGGAATATTAGGTCTTGCCCTTAAAAGGTGTACTTTGGACCAGGGATTATTTATCACATTCTCATTGTGACTTGTTTATATACTGAAAAATTTTAAGCTAACAAAGCATGATCATGTGACATCATTGTGTGATTACTTATGATTCAGTAATAGAGTAGGGAGTTTCCCTTTCCTCTTCTGGTTTAGGCCTTGTTCAGGTGTGTGGATATTAAAATTACATTACTGAGATACATTTTTTGTCTCTAAAGAGAGTGGAACTTTATATAGTATCTGAGAGAAACTAAAAAATGAGCCTAGAATAGGAGTTCAAATAACACAGAATTCAGAGATTCCCCGTAATAATTTTTCTCTGAGTGTCGTTTGTAGCTCAATACTGATGTATTGAGTTAACTAATCACCAAGAGTGTCTGCCTGTTCAGAAGTGAGCCTGTGGATAAATTAGATGTATACCTTGGAGAAATATGAGAAGCTGAATAATTTTATGCCATTTTCCCCTCAAAGTCTATTCAGCTTTGTTATAAAAGGACCATTCCTGTAATTTATTAGCAATAGTAACCAGAAGTAGTGCACACTAAATAGTTGCAAAGTAATTATTCAAGATACATTGTTTTCAAAAGTAGGAATTTATTAATGATCTGATTCTACATTGAGTAAATTCAGTGTCTCTGTGTATGTTTTGATAGCGTTGCTTTTCTCCCCTTATATTTCCCCTTGGGGTTTGGATTGTCTCCCTGGAAGGAGACCTGGGCAGATTCCTTTCTGCTCTCTTCCTGTGCTCTCTCGCCCCACCCCACCTCTCTCTCAGGTCAATGTGGGGTCACAGTGAAGTAAACAGAGGCTGTTTTCCTCTTTTTTTACCTTTGGACTCCTATTTGTTCTACATACTTTTTTTCCCCCAAATGACAGTTAATTACCATCTTAATATCATTATTGGGAAGAAGGAGGACCAGGTAGTGAGTTCTTAAATAAGATGAATCAATTCAGATGGATCCGTTTCTGTTAAGTAAGCTGTTAGTTTCTCTAATGTACACAGCTAATGTCCTTCCTCACTTCCCTCCCCCATCACCTCCTCTTACACTGTAGATGCTGCCCCTGCCCCCATTGAAAGACTGAGCAGCACAGAATTGACCATTTGCAGGATTTCAGTTCTTAAAACTATTTGAATTGGTACACTAAGCTGCATAGATCCTAGAAGATTAAAAAAGTTTTTAATTCCATTTTTTTGTATTAAAAGAAATTTATTTTATTACAGTGGCTTCTGGTCATTGAAGCTTGCCCATTAAGTTAATTTTCTGATTGCTGTTTATACTCATTTTCTCAGCAAGCTGTGGTCTTAACACTTCCTTTTTCGTTATTTAAATTTCTTAAAGTTCTCATTTTTATCTCTTTATGTCCTGAAGTCTAGACTCTCCAATGATAGGAGATCTGACAAGCTGTGGCTTTAGAATGAGTGATCAGTTGGTTTTGTAACTTTCTTAATTTTGCTTGTACATGAGAAAGGTTCGAATCGAGGCCACCAGGACCCATCTGCTTACTCTAGTCCCTGTTAATGTCTGGAGTACAGAGTCCCCTCCTGTGACCCTCAAATATTGTCCACGACAGAATCGTGAGTGAACTCTTGATCCCCGTTCTTAGTTGCCATGTAGCCTGGCAATAGAAAGTATATCTGAATATAAGCTTATGCACTAGGACTATGTTCATTTTAGAATTACTTCAGAATAGAATTATAATTATTTTAGAATTTGTTCTGTGTCCCATAACAAGGCCATAGGTCTCTTAAATATGACTTGAAATAATTATTTTGTGATGGAAATATGTTACTAATTGGGTAAAGACTGTTATTAACCCAGTATAAAATATAATTTTCTGATATATATTAGGTACATGATTTTAAAAAAGCTTTCATTGCAGTTGTATCTTGCCCTTATATTAGTCTTGTTTTACTCCAGTGACGACTGAGGCATGATTATTTTCTGAATAGAATGGTTAAGACAATGTGAAGGTACTGTGTATGACACATAGCAGGTGCTGAATAAATAATCATACCCTCAGCCTCAGCTTCATTTATCAAGAGGGTTTAAGTAAATCTTGATGTGTAAGTCAGTTTTTAGATAGTTTTTGAGGAAATTATAAATTATGAAGAGAAGGGCATTATACATTCACGAGACAACTATTTCAAGAGAATATTTTTCAAACTTGGAAAATATTAGTGCTTTAAACAACTATTGTTTTCTATTGCTTTCAATTCCCTTTAGATGCCATCGCTAGAAAGCTCTTATTTTCTCCTTTACAATATTTTCCTCTAATTAAAAAAATTCAGTAGATTTTGACCTCAAGACTCCACTGATATTGTTAAATATGAATAGATTTACTTCAAAAGAAATTTTTGTTGACCTAATTTGTGTTATTAAATTTGTCAATGAACTAAACTAGTTTTTAAAATAGCAGGGTTGGTGGGTAAGAAGGGACTCATTTTACTTTGCTCTGATGGGGTCCTTAGGAACAGCAGCAAAGTCAGAAGTTTGGATGACATTTAATTTCTGTTCCTTTCCCTTTCCTCACACAGTGTATGTTCTGTTGAAAGGCAGCTCTTCAAAGAAATCTGAGCAGATAACCTGCAGCCCTCCCCCACCCCCCATCCCTGGCTTTGTATAAATGTGTTAAGCATGTTTGAGGTTATGGGGCCTGTAGTAGAAGAAGTGTTATATTTTGCAGAGGCAGTGCTGTAGAAATGGCATCCTTATTTGAAAGCTCTGCCTCATATTCGCACGCTATAAATTAGCAGTCCTATGGTAGAAGAGTTAAGAAGAGAATCTTATTTGTGGTGGCCTAAATCTTTCCAAGCTTTGAGAATTAAACTGCAGATTTTCTTAAGAAACGACAAGTTAAACGTGTAGTTCTGTCTGCTTATCTGTATTTTATTACTTCTGAAATTAGTTTGGACAAGTGAACTGAGTTAGAGAATTAAAAATTATTTTGTTTTCACTTGAGTAACTCTCACCGTGCCCGTTTGTCTTTGATATTCTATAAGAGGAAATGGTTATATCTAAATTTTAGGTATATTATATAGTCTAATGTTTGCTCAGTTGTGTTGAACATATAACTGTATTTGACAAAACAAGCAGTAAGTTGGTTCAACCAACCTCAGCTGTGGCAAAGATCATGCCCATGCAGTTGCCATTGGGCCTTACTCCTAAGCATTTACAGAAATGTTAACTAATAATGAGCCATTTAAAATAGAAGGTATAAGAGTGCTTTGAACTCAACTATTATAAACTTTAAAATGTTTTTCAGATAAATATGTTGCTGTGGTATGATGAAGCCTTGGTTTTGCTCTGATATTTTAGTTGCCACTGAATATGGGAAGGGAAGTCTTGGATCATTGTCTTTTAGTAGACTGTTAACTTTGTATCATTAATTAAACTTTTGAAAGTTGTAGGATAAATCAAATGCTTTTCTGGGGAAACAAGAAACAGTATTAATGAGCAACAACCCCATAATTATCCTTGTGAGTACATAACAGGAACACATTCATGTCTTTCCTTTGTGCAATAACTTTTACAAAGAAGTATTTTCAAACTGATCATTAATTTTATGACCACTGAAATGAGATGCAAAATTTATGCTGTTGTCACTGGCACGGGCTCAAGGCACCACTGACATTATGTGTGATTGTAATAGAATGGCTGCCAACTAATGATTCTGTAGAGATTTCATTTGAGCACGCTTTTCTTTTAGATGTCTGATTAGGCTGTAATGCTTTCAATTATGTCTGTAAATTGTATTGGATACGTTTACCTGATGCCCATCGTTGCTTTGGAGTTCAGTTTTCTATTACATAAACACAAGTTGAACATTTTCCTTTTAATTTATACAAGTCTTTGCAGGTAGAGATGCAAATACTCAGCCCCTGGGGAGAAAAATACGTTGCACTACTCAAGAGCGACCCCTGTGTTCAATTAAAGCTCTTTATAACACAGCAACTCTTTCCTGGGTGGAAAAAATAACAGGGGAGGGGGAGAAGGGGATGGGTCATCACTGGAGCAACAGGAAAATGAAGACCATTTTGAAAAACGATGTGTCCTTTCAACTTAAGGAACGTTGTAAAGGGAATGACCCTGCACAGATACCCCAGAGATGCTACTTCTTTACTTTCTGAGTTAATTCAAGGAAAGCTTTAACAAAGGGCTGGGAGGGGGGAAGAGTTGAATCCAGCAGTAGCACTTAATTCATATTGTTTTAGCTAAATATAAATATCACGCTGATTTAAAAAAAAACACATTTGAAATGAGCTGCTGTTCTTAGAAGGGGTAAGTTTAAGACAATTTTACTTTAATATATATAATCCAAAATTATTTCCTTTAAAAAACCCCACAAAGGTCTTTAACATGTCATTGATCAGTTTGTGTAGAATATTCATAACTCACGTGAACTTGTTGAATTAGTAGCTTTAATAATGATCTTTATGCTGTGTGTCCCTGTGTAGCTGTGCATATGCATGGATATACACATAAAATATAGATGGATATTGTCGAAGGATAATTAATTCTGACTTCCAAAACTTTTAAAGTTTTATTTCTTCAGCTTATTTCCACATAGAGTTTAATAGGCTGAAGCCCAAGCACCTGAATATTTTTCAAAATTCTTTCCACATATTCATTCACGTTAGTGTTGTATTTTTATATTCATAACAATACAATATGTTAAGTGCTAAGTTCTGGTGATATAGTTGAAGTATTCTAATACTTTTTTTCATAGCAAGATTTATTTTATAGTTAATGATATGAAATATTCTTAGAAAATTCTTATGATAACAATTCTTTATTGAGAATATGAGGGCACTCTAGCAACTAAGAGCAATTGAGAACCTTGCGATCTTTCCTGCCCCCATACCCCTTGGGCTGTCACTCCATGTTCATACGTGTTTTCACTAGCACTTTGGGAGCTTCTCTCTTAGTTCATGTTTAAAATCAGACCATGGCTCTTTCCATAAAGAGAAGTGTTGTAAGGGATCCCCGAATGTTCCGAAAAACACTTGGGACATCTTGTAAGCCAGAGCAGCAGTTAGGATCTGAAGAATGAGCACTGTTAGTATGTGTTCTTGTCGTTTTAATTGGGGAGGAAACGTCACCCTACGTGGCACACCCAGGGGTGGCATCACTGAGGACTGTAAATGGCCATGTTTACATTCTGCTTTTACTGTCTTGGTGGGAGATATTCCTGTCTTTATTTTCAGCATAAGGATGACAAGTCCTGGTGAAATGTCAGCTTTATAAGAAAGTACGGATGAACATGGATTTCATAAGTTAACTTCATTGATGGTGTCATGGTGAGAAACAGGGTGCTGCCCATCACGCGGTCGTCAGAGGATGCGGATGTGGTTAGGGAGCACCTGGTAGCTTTGGTTGGGATCTTCCCTGCAACCGTGGTCTGAGAGTAATTCTCCTGGTATTTTAGGGTTCCTGTGGAGATTTTCACCGTGCTTTTTTGGCTGGTTTTCTCTTGAATTGTTAACAGATAACTAAAATTGTTAACAGGTAGATAATTGATATAGTATGAAGTATATCTTTTTCTTTATTGCTGAATGTGGGTGAAAAGTGATTGCTTATACATAACTAGGCTAGCAAAAATCTGAAACATTCTTTTTTCAAAAAAATATTCTAAATAAGTATGTGGGGAAAATCCAAACCACAAGATTTAATTGTGGGGATTAAATGACTTCAAACCAATCAACCAACCAACCAACAAACCAACCATCCTAGGATTCGGAAATCATGTGGAGAACTGGTTAGAACATTCAAACTGGCTAGAACATTTTATGATAGATTAAAAATAGTTGCATTTCCAAGGGCAGGAATTCTATATAGGAAAAGCTGCTTTAAAACTCATATATACCTTTTAAATTTAAACAAGGTTATTTACAAACTTAAGATACCTTCAATTTTTATTCAGTGATATCTCACCAGTTTTTAATCTACTGTAATGTTATCCTGTGCTTTTTAATGAAAGCATAAAATGTTCATATGGCTTTGAATTATCAATTTCTCATAATTTTTAAAATATTGAGTAGGTAAATTGAGTAATTTCTCGGTTGTGTTTTCTGTGTTTTTAAGATTATTGTTATCATTATTTTGGTTTCAATTTTTTGTTTATTTTAGATATACACTCTTTTTTATCCTGCCTCTACTTTCCTGTACTCATCTTTGTAGAGACCATCATGATTTTGGACTTGTATCCTTTTGCACCAGAAAGAAGTAGATGTATACTGACCTTCAGAGACTCTTACCTTATCTAAAGTATAGTGGGTGTACATTAAAACGGGACCCATTGTTCCATTTCAAAACATTTTCTTTGTTCTTTTTACAAGACAGTGACTGAACTTAATAAGAAAATTTAATCCTTCTGATAAAGTAAGATTTTTTTAAGGTGGCTAAATTAATAAAAGTTTTTTCTCTGGTTCTTTTATAGGTGAGGCAGAAGATGGGGAAGAACATGATGATCCTTTTTCTGGGCCTCCAGACACTATTTCATTAGCCTCAGACAAATATGACAAAGATGATGAAGCCCCCTCGGACGGTATGTGGTATTTTCCCATGGAATACAGCCCTTGACGCTAACACACAACCATGCGGTGCGTAGATGTCGCGTGGTCTTGCCAGAAAGCAGATACATACGGAGGCTTCAGTTAACTTTCCCAGAACCTAGTAAGGAACAGAAGAGCTCTCTCTAGTGGTTTTCCTCAGTATGCAGTTCCTCTGTTTCCTAGGAAATTTTCTTCACTAGGATTTTTAGAAGAGTGCTTTTATCATCATGCACATGTTACTAGAGAGTTTGTTGGTTAATTTAATATTATTAGAGTCTTGCTTAATTTTATTATGCCGCTAATGGCTTGTTGTATTATTTATTTTATAAATAATGAAGAAGGTTTTTGATCTCTTTTTTTTCGCTGAAAACTTCATCCATAATTAGTTCATAAAATATTAAATTAATTATTCCTACATTGCCTTCTCACATTGAGACAGGTTTTTATCAAATGCGTCTTTTAATACACATTTTCATTCTTCGTATTGTCACCTAAAAATGCCCCACATTATGCAGTAATATGACAGTGTTTTGTATTAATTGAATTAGCAATAAAGTCGATCGTTTACCTCAGTAATTTTGAAAGCCTTGCCAAAGTTATAAAACTTGTTTTTCGTGTAGTGTATGCTTTCTCTGTTACAGCCAGTTGAATGCATCTGCTTTAAGGGGACCTTGTCAGAGTGATGTGTCATTATAAATTAAAAATGTGTATCGATAAATTAGCCATGCATATTAATTTGTGGCACTCAGAGTTTCACATAGACAGAGAAATGAATAATGCCTTCTGCCACTGTATGATGATCAAACTGTGCAGTCCCATCTCTAAATACAATTGCTGAATGAAAATATGCTTCCTGCAACAGAGCACTCCACATTTTATGTTATCCAGATTATTCCCTTTGGAAACATAAATTGCTTTTATGAGGTATAAAATTATGTCTATTGCAGAACAGGGATAAGTCAAGTACATGCATAAGTGATAAACATTCTAACCACTGATTCAGAACAACACAATCTTTTCTTTATGTTCAGAACTTTGTACACTGTGTAACAATAATAATCATATCCGTTTTATGTTGAATTTTATATTTTGGCAAACATTTAATTTCTATTTTTAAAGGAAGGGATTTTTTTCTCTTACATTTTCTGTGTTTTAACAAGATGCTCACTTCTCTTTGTGGTTACACGTGCTATCTGAAACGGAGCGTCACCCTTTCGCACCTGATCTGCAAAAGCATTTCTACTAGAAAATGTTTTATAATTGATAAAACAATACTTTTGGGGAAAATGAATTATTATTTGAGTTGAACTGTTTTTCAGATACATTATAATGATTTGTTTTGCTTCCCTGTAGAATATTGGTAGATGGGAAAGAGTATGTTTGTGTATATATACACATATATATATACACATATGTATGTGTATATATACACACAGAGACAGAATATTTATACTCAGGAGAATATATGTACACACACATATACATACATACATGGGCACACCCATAGAATATATTCATAGAATATGTATATATACTCAGGGTTTCTCAAAATAGTATAAATATTTTGATGTACAAGGGAACATTATATTTTTTTTTAAATATTGCAGCCCAAGAAATGCAATCATTCAATATCTCTGAGAGTCAGGGCTTTGTTAGAAAAAGTGACTTGTTTTTATAGAATAGTTACATGATTATTGTGTTTTCTTTTTTATGAATAATTTATTATGTTTATTTCTTAACCAAATATATAGGAAATACATTATAGCATGAAAAAATTTATTGTTAAAAGGTTGCTTTATCAATATTTGAATATTGTTTAATATATTTATGTATAACATTAAATTTCTTGTTAAATATTGGTGCTTTTCATTGGTGTTTATGTAAGGAATTCTTAAGCAGATTGAAAATTTTACTTTCAGTATTATTAAATTTTTATATATAAATAATACCATTTTTGATAGTTTTATATTTTCTTCTGAGAATAGTGTAAGTTAATTTTAAAACTACCACTTGGAGTTTTAATTTGCATGCTAAAATGTCATCTAGTCATATCAGTTTTTCTGTCTGCAACTTAGATTTGTATGTGTTCTCTTTCCTTTGATGAATACATTTTCCTTCATTATGTGATCTCAGTCTAATGATATATTAATTATAAAAAGATAATGCATTTAACAATAAGTATAACTAAATTAGCACAGGTCACCAAAAGGCCTTTTGTCAAATCAGATTGTTGTTTTGTCCTTTTGACTTTTACCTTATGGTAGACACTAACAAAGTATCTGAACTTTGATGGATGATAAACTCTAAACATGATATGTATTTTTCATAATGCTAATGTAATTTTCAAGGTACTGAAAAGGTCAAACCTGCACATCTCTATGTGCATTCTAAGTCTGTCTTTTCCTTTAATATTTCTTTTTCTCTGTTTCTCTGGTTCAAAAGTTCACTCAGTTCCCAAATGGCTACCTAATTTTCCAGTTATTCCCTCAAGCCATATGTGTTTTGGTTTCTTTATGGTTTATTAGGTACTGTAGGAAAGTAGCATAAGTTATATCTTCTAATGAAATTCAAGCACACTTCAGTGATGCTTCGACTTGATTGCTGGTAGCAATTAAATCACAGCCAAGGAGAATAATGCATAATCTCACAAGGTCCAGACACCCTATAGAAATTGAAAGGGGATGCAAACAGAAAACAAAAACAAAGTCTCCCAACCCTGCCAGACATGCCGTTTCCAGCCTGCCTTTTTTTCCCCCCATTGGCCAACTGCCTGATTGATAGCAAAACCATAACTTGCTGCATGCTAACAGGCAGAGTTCACTTGTAGGTTATTGTGAGCTGATAAAGGGTTAGATGGAGTTTTGATTTTCACATTGGACCTTGGTACAGCAGATTAATGGAATTTCAATGAGAGACTAGAGTAGCCACAGCTTTGTCAGAGAAACAGATGGAGATTCTATAGTCATGTCTACTCATTAATACTAGTTGCCTGAAAGGTGTGCTGCTTCTCTATACAAAAGAGTTGATATAATTGATTTTTGAGTGGTACATTGAAAAAAAGTGCCTTATTGATGACTAGAATTGTAACACAGATGGTGACAGATTTTTGTACAGTTTGTAGCTTAACAAAATGTCATACTTTGTAATTTCTTCATCTCTCTCTCTCGGGACGTGGTTTCTATTTATATTTTTTGAGGAGAAATGTTAAGACCCAACAGCAAAAAATGAGAAAATGACACATGCTCAATTACCTTTTAAGAAAAAAAGTAAGAGTCTGCATTTTATTTATAAATGATTACGTGACTGCTGTTTGTTTCATTTTGATATGGTAATGTTCATTTAAAAATCATACTTATTTGAAATTTAATTTTATTAGCTTTGTGTTTTATTTGTTCTGGAAAATGTAAAACAAATCACAGTGGGTTCTAGACAATTACAGATCACTGTTCAAAGTTTTATGCTATTGTGTGTCTGGATATATTGCAGTGTTAATAAATGGTGCATGTCAGTAATCAGATAAAATTAAATATAATGAAACTCAAAACCTTACAGAACAATATCCCTTATTGTACACAAGTTAGAATGTTTGGGCACCAAGGTGGTAGATGCAGGGTAGCCCTTAGATGCTATATAATGACTTGAGTATCCATTTTTCTATTCTGAAATCATTTTTCACTCATTTTCATGATTTGTGAAAGAAAGCTCCTAACCATATAGCGTCGTGGACAGTCCCTGAGGTGAGGTGAGAGGGTTCAGTGAGCTAGAAGACATATCGGCTCGGCCGTCAGCGATAGGTCGAAGGATCCCAGTGGACGTTTGGTACAAATCTGATTCAGTCCTAGACCATAATCACTTTGTGGATAAGAATCTGGAACCTCTAGGGTGCGAGTACAGGAAGGCGGAAATGAAGCTAAAGAGATAAAACAGTCATTTATTTTTAAAAATATTTTTATTGAATTTATTGGGGTGAAAAACAGTTATTTATTGTCCTGGTATCTTGCTAACTAAATATTTTCGAGTGACATAGGTCACTGGGAACTGTGGGCATTGCAGGACATGGGTTCATGTGAATAAATATGGTTTAGGAATGGAATTATTTTTTAAAGCCTGGGGATTAAGAAAAAATTCTGTTTGATCATAACTTATAATAACAAGTAATGATTTTCTTCTTTTTTGGTATACTTTTCTTTAAGAAAATCCAGTACATAAAATTTTTGATTTATAAAACATAAATCACTTATTCCAAAACATTGCTTTAAGCAGGACTATCTCCAGGATGCCTATAAATAATGAACTCTCACAGTGCATCTAAAACACGTTTAGCTATAAGCCCATCCACTTGCACACACATACGTTTAATGTGTAAACATTACACATCAAACTTTTGAGGAAGGTTATTTTCGGAGTAAAATCAGTTGTAACACTAATCAGTTCTCGTAAAAGCCAAGCCATAGATATGCTTTACTTTTCTCTGCATTCCAGCAGAAAATGAGACAATGATTAAAACCAGGAAAAAAGTTATTTCAATAACTCACCAGTTAGGGTGAGTGTTTTTCTATATAGTATCGCGTGGTTGTTGATAATAAAATCATATTTTTGTATCTTATTTGGATAATTTAGATTAGTTTGCAATTTGCACATATCCTTGTGTGTATAGCATATATTGTTATTTTACTTGCGGGTTTTTTTTACTTTTTTTGTTATTTCAATATACCAATTACTAGCTTGTGTGTGTTATAGCAGTATAAAAGCAATGATTATTTTAGTCCTGCATTGTGCATGACATAGCTTCAAGTCCTATAGTTTGGGGAAATGATATAAAATAGAAGTGTTTGAACACTTAAGATATGTGTTGTGTGGTTGGAGATACACAAGCGAAGTACACAGATGTGGAATGTTTTTATGATACAAATGTATATATGAATAAGTAAAAGCACAGCCATTGAGAATCATTGTTCTAAGTTTTATGCCATTGAATGGGAAATTCAGTCCA